AACGGTAGCCTTCAGTTCTGCTACCAGGTATGCTATCCCAGAGATCATGAAACAGAAATGCTCACAGATCTAGTTAAGATGCTCATATCATACCATTTATTAAATGTGTTTAAAACATACGGCAAGGGGGAAGAGATGTGGAGGGTAACACAATCAGGGTAATGAGCAAACAGAAGGGCCATATTATTTAAATCTCGGGTTGTATAATGTTCATATTTTTGCTGTATCAGCCTTCCCTGCTCATGGTGTGGTGGACAGAATCAAAGGTAAGATTTGAACAAGGGGTCCATTAGACTGAAGGTGTCTGAGGCCCAAACATATACTTGCTCTACTGGAGAGATGCAGGGGTAAGTATACCTGGCCCATAGCTGTAGCTTATGAATTGGTTTGCTGAACAGCTATGGGATGTGTATGCAGTGTTTTAGGTAGAGCACATGAAAGGCCGTAACCATGCTATACTAAGTGTCATCAGCAGGTGGCCAATTTATGAATGATGTAGTTGTGAGCCCAGAAATGAAATTATAATATCTTATGTTTTATTCTTTTCATCTCTTTTTATCTAGAAGTAGCAAGTTTGTATATTCCATCATTTATTCCATCTATATTTAACATGCATAATAGGTTGCTAAGTTACTATCTATATTTAACACACACTATGACTTCTGCCTGTGTGTCACAAGCTATTTGCTTACTCACTAGCTAAATTTAAAACACAAGTTTCACTAATATCTTACAGGCTACTAGTTTACTTATAACCTATGCTTAATGCCTCTTAGCAGTTTTATCCATCCTCTTTGTTTTTGGTTTTTAAAACAATTAAATATTCTCAAATATAGCAAACACTTAGAAAATTGTGTAGGTTGTCCTTCAAAACATTTAAAGAATTCACCTACTATCCATCATGCTCACTAAAGTAATCCAGATGCAAGCCACTGTCATATCTTGCCTGGATTGTTGCAGAAGTATCTAACTGGTCTCCTTGCTACCATCCTTGCTTCCCTTAGTCTATTCTCCACATATCAGCTGTGTTGAGACAATGTGAGCTCAAATCACTCCTCCATTCGCTTTTCACCTTACTGGTAAATAAAGGTCTAAGTCCTCACCTTTACTTACAAAGCCCTATGTGACCTGGTACTCCATTACATCTCAGACACCATCACCTATCACCCAACCCCACACTTATAGAAAATTAACCTCACAACTCAACTCAAGGCTTGTGCATTATCCATGTTTCTACTTGATGGAATTCTCTTCACCCAGATACCCATGCCTCCTTCCAGTCCTTACTCGAAATTTGCCTTCTTAGTCCTTCAGAGTCCTTCTCTGATTACCTGAACTAAAATTTGAACTTTCTCCCCACTACACATTGCACATTCCCCTTTCCTATTTTATTATATTTCTCTTTTTAGCATTTACTATTTTACTTCCTACTAATTTTTACTTTACTTAATGTATATTACTTGCATATTATTTAACATACTATTTTACTTATATTGTTATCTTTTGTTTTTAAATTTTATGTCTCTCACATAATTAAATACCCTCCATGACGGTTTTGTATTTTTGTTTACTGATGTATCACTTGGTCCTATAATAGTATCTGGCACATAATAGGTGATAAATAAACAAGTGTTAAATGACTGCATGGATGAATATTACTCTATGTGTGAGCAATGCTATACATTAATACAATAATCGCAGTAGAGAAAATTCAGTGTTACCCTAGTATAAAGAGCATGTTCTTGTAATTAGATGAATCTGAACTTGAATACAGGCTCTGACACTTACTGATTAGGCTTTGAAATATGGACTAAGTTGGGCAATTTGAAATGAAGACAAAAGTCACTCTAGGCTGAGGAAAGCAGAAAAGTCAAGATAGGAAATTTCTTGGCACTTATAGAAGAGAACAAGTGATTTAATTTGGTCGAAGAAAACGTGAAATATATTAAATGTGTAACAAGCATAAAATATAAATTGCTGATAGAACATAGAGGTTTTTAAGGAAATTTAGGAGAGTGGACTTGCTATATAGGCAAAAGAAAGTGAAGACGATTTTATAAATGTTATTATTAAGGCTGTGAATAAGAAAATTTAATCTGATTCAGATGGGGTTAAGCTGAAGGTAATGATAACAACTGAAAAGCTATTAATATTTATGTGGTGTAGAAGATATGTATTAAGGGCCTGAGTCAGTAGGACATTTATAAAAACTAAGGGAACATAATGAAGAAATGTTATGAAGAAAGAATTGACTAGATGTGTCTCATTTATTGAATATCAGATCACTATATAGAAAAAAGAGCATGTCTTATATATAAACCTCAATGACTTTTGAGTCATATGCTCATTGACATACCGAAATAAGGACAAGAAACTTTGAAACACAGTTCACTTGGGGACATACTAGGTTTGAAACAACAGTGAACATCAAGGTATAGATACATATCAAAGATTTGAAAATGAGTTGGAAATGGGGCTGTTAGTCAAGAGAGATTGCAAGTGGTGAAAACATAGATATGATGGTCATTTGCATACAGATTGAAGCCAGCCTGGAGATTAAATCATATTGATAAGAGAATGAGCATACAAATAAGAGGGCCAAGAGATCTTCCATGAGATTGCTATGCTGGGAGTGGGGAGAATTGGAAGAGGAGAAAGAGCCAGATAAGGAAAGAGATACAGAATAGTCAGAGAGAAATAAGAACCTGCTGAGTAGAGGCTCTGAACCAAAGTGCTTCAAGGATAGAAGAAACTTATGAGAACAGAATAAAAGCAATTTGATTTGGGGACTAAGAATACTTATTTGTTGACTAAATAAATCAACAAACTAAGCAAAGTGGTATGTTTGGGGAAAGGAGGCATGCACATGTTTTCCATAGGAGACAGTCATCTGCATGGCTCTCTCCTCATGGAAAACTTCATGTTTCCTTGTAGACCACCAAGTAAACACTTGAATAAAACTCTCTGATGGAATCCAATTCAGCCTGTCTTAAGTTCATTTGAAGTGGAGCAGATACAACCTACAGGGGGCAGTGTAGGCTCAGTCCTTGTGGGACTCTAGAAAAATAATTTTCTTAGTGAGTGTGAATATTTAAAGACATAAACTTATCAAACCTAACTACGCATAGCATCACCTTCTGATGTGCTTCCTTTAGTAACATAATATATCATTCCCATCTTGTGATTTCTGCTGCTTCTTTTCTAAAGGATAAACATTAGATTTATTCGAATGGCTCATGTTAAATAAAACAGATAAGTGAATGTGTTGAATATTTTATGACATGTTATGTATTTGGCAATATTTGCACAAAGGTAGAATAAACAAATAGAGTCTAGCAAGATTTAAGTCCATTTGCAATTACTTCATTAAGGAGTCATACCTGAGCAATGCCTAAATGAGGTGGTAATGAGGTAAAAATGTGCTGTCAGAATAGGCAAAAGGCAGCTCAATAAAGTGATAATGAAAGGGGAAAAAATAAACCTTGATATTTTTGCCTTCGTTTATGCTCCTTTACTTTAGAAGGCAGCACCTATTTCTTAAGTCTTTGTGGTTTCAAAGGGGGAGTGGTGATGAAAACAGTCTAGGGATCAGGAGAGAGTTGGGGGAAGAGTCAAGAGGTCAGGAGTGACAGGAAGGAGCAAGAGAGAAGGATGGATAAACTGAAAATGGGGATAAATATAGCACTTCCCATCCCTAAGGGATTTTATAAAGATTAGATTAGTTCATATATGTGCACATGTGTCATATAGTAAACACTCAATAATGTGTGGCAGAATTATTATTTACTGATAATGAGGAAACCAGTCCCGTTTCTTGTTCAAGATTGTACAACTAGCCTTTGTGAAAACTTGGATGGGAATTTAATTGAGGAAGAGACTGACTCACCCAAACTTTTTCACCCATTCTCCTTTGTTCAGCTTTGCATGAAAATTAGTCAAGGATAGAGGGCATAACTATGCCCTAAAATAAATGTTTCCTCAGGGGAATCTTTCGGAGTTAAGAATTTTCAGCCTCATGCATCAATTAACTGCCAAATAAATCACTAATTAAATGCATATCACTATCTTGAAAAAAATCAATGAGCCTCCAAAAATGTACACTATTTCTTTTACCAATAGGATCACGTCTATAATTTCTAAACTTTCATTCATAGTGTACATTTGATAAAAGTCACATCCTGAAGAACTTTCAAATTGGCTCCACTGAGCCAAATAAATAAAGCTTTCTTTTAAAAAGAAATTCTTGCACATCTAGCAATCCTACCACATTTCATTTCCATGCTCTAACATATACAAGGCTGTAAGTCCCTGTATTTTTAGTTTTCCTACAATATTGCAAGGGTGGAAAATTCCAGTGAGAATATTCCTCCAGCAGAAAGTACTAAATGGTGCATAGCATCTGACCTGATTTTACTGTGACATTTTCTTATAAACACTACAGTTACTATTATATACAAGTTTAAATTAGCAACACTAAAGGAGATCATATGAAGAAGATTGCAGTTATATTTTTCTTAAACAGAATAAATTTAGTTTTAGAATGAAAATATAATAAAAGCATTTACTTCGATTATTACCTTTATGTATCACATATCTAGAAAAATCTCTCCAGTGTGATTGATAATTTTCATATATTTGTCCATACTTTTAAAAGTTAAATATATAAACCTTTTAACGAGCTTCATCTTTTTTTTAATAACCATTGGTAGCCTTTGTAAAAAAAAAAAGAAGTTTAAGAGGTAAATATGTAATGAAGGTACAAATCACTATTATGAGAATTTTCATTCATGAAGAATCAACATATATTAATTCTAGAGCAGTCTCATAACAGAGCAGCATCATATGAAACAATCTATTTAATAATAAAACTGGGAAAAACAAAACAGCTCTTGATGGAGGAGAAAAAAAAGCACTGAAAAATTCAAAGAAGCAAAAGCAATGTTAGATTATCTTGGAAGCTGTTCTCGGGTTTGTAGAACAGAGAGTAAATGTTGACAGACCTGTGAAGGAAATGGGCTCCGTGTGGGGTCAGAGGTGGTGACATAAGCAGCCTGTGTGTAGGCATAGCTCTTGAACCGAGGCTTGGGAGAGGAAGGAGTTCGCTCATAGCCCTGGGCTAGACTGACTGTGATCTGCAGAGAAAGGTTTGGGGGAGGGGATAGACAGGAGGAGGAGACATCATAAGTAAGCTGGAAGGACTGCTTTCCAACACACTAAAAAACAGAACGTTAGGTGGAAATGATGAGATGAAAAGTTTAATCCTAGACACATATAAGTGATATTAGAAACTGGTACACTCCAAGAATTGTGGTGCTTAATGTCATGGTGGAGAGCAAATGATCTGGGAAGATATGAGGGTGGGATTTAACCACGAGGATTCCATACTGACACAACTCCAGCACTTATATGGAATGGTGCTCTTCAATCTGGCAAAAACAAGCATCCAAAAGCAATTTTCTCTAAACCCAAAGTAAACAAAGCCAGAATTCATCAGGTCAATACCCTGGAAAGGACTGAAGCTTTCATAAGCTAAATATAGAACTAGCTCAGTAGAGTGAGAAAATTAGGCCTGAGAGCTTTCCACACCTTCAGCAGAAATTTTGCTAAAGGCTTTTTCATCATTGTTTGTGCCTAAGAAAGTTAGAAGAAAACACCCAAAATACCCACTGCTGAGATCAAGAACAAGCCAGTGTCATGGAAGAATCCCACTGGATTCTATGAAATGATATAATAAAGGATTTAATCATATGTATTCTTCATTTAATTCTTATTTGAAATATTTTAAACCACTTTTTTCTTTTCATGATTATTAACTGTGAATAATCAAAATTTGTGAATACATCAAGTTGCCACCAAACTTTTAAAAAGTTATTAAAAGCAGTACTTGCCTTTGTTCTTGCTCTCTTTGCTCTAGTCAATGGAGAATTTAAAGCTAATATGCACATAAGTTTGCCTTTCATTTTATTTTGTGTTACACAATGAAAATGCAATATATTCTGTATTCTATGTTCCTATAATAGGATATGTATTAATAGTATTTTAACCATGTGCTTTGAAATAAATATTGTAGCCCATATCAGATAAAATTTAAAAGGTTTTTATAGTCTCTGTCTGTATACAAATGCACACATTATGCTTTATATAAATATGTGTGATTATATATATATATCCATCATATATGTGTACATGTATGATACCTAAAAACACATATGAAACAGCAAACATCTTTGATATTAGCTGTCCTTAGACATTTTACCTGTTGAGAATAGTGCATTTGATGATGTAATTGAAAATGTTCTTCTTTAGTCACTTTAGATGGCCTTGGCAACATTTCCACTTCCTGGATGGCTTCAATGCTCACTTGCTGAGGCAAAACTTGGAAGAGTGATGTGATGTACATTAAGATGGACTTCTTATCTGGGTAAGTGGTGGCAACATCTGTAAGCACATTAAAACCACACATCAATTTTTGGTTTCTATATTTGAGACTCTGAAAGGGTAATGGACAAATCAATGCTACAGGAAAAGGACAGATTAATGAACACTCGATTGTCCATGAATGTCCTCCAGAGACTAATTAGAACATGATAATCAGGCCTAAAATGTCCTTTCAATTTGGCAGACCAATGAGATGAGCACTAAAGTTAATTTCTTTTCCTTGTTCGCACAAAAATTTCATTCCATAATACTTTCTCCTAAGTCAAATTGCCAGACTGGCCCATCTAAGAGGGTAGCTTTCATTAGATAAGAAACAAAAATAAAACATTACATTTTCCTTTCCATGGAAAGTTACACTAACATGTCAATTAAAATGCTGCATTACTAATTAAACAATTACACAAAAGAGTTTAATGTCTCGGCTTCCAGTAAACAAACCTTAACACCTCCTAATTGAATTTTTCCTAGTGTCAAAGTGTACAAAGAGCTAAATATGTCTCTGTGTTGAAATGAGCCATGTATTTTCACAATAAAAATTAAATAAAACAGAAATATGCCTTACGAATAATGATTTGTAATATTCCTTTAGTATATTAAAATACTGGTTTACATTATGGTGCATCTGGTAAAGTAGGGTGTCACTTTCCTTCTCAGATTTTAGAGATAAATTTGAAAGTCCTGAACATAAAGTTGATCCGACTTCATGTTCTTTGCCACATTCAGGGAGTGAATGAAACCCAGCACGTAAAGTCAATAACAAATTGTAATAACACATAAAGAGTCAGCTTCTTGAAAATGTTCTTTGGCTACTTGGCATTACAATTTACTTACTGTACTTATTCCAGGGAATCAAGATATAAAATAATTTTTTATGTGAAGTTGTATCATTAATCCCAGAAGTGTTAAAACATAAGTCCTGATAATGATATACCATTTAGCCTTAAAAAAGAAGGAAATCAATGGATGACATTAAGTGAACTAAGCCAGCCACAGAAAGACAAAATCTGCAAAATCTCAGTTCTGTGCAGAATCTAAAAAGTTGAATTCATAGAAATAGAGAGTAGAATGATGCCTACCAGGGGCTGGGGAGGGAAGAAGTTTGGGCCATATTGGTCGAAGGATGCAAAAGTTCATTCATCAAGATAGGAGGAATAAGTTCAAGAAATAAGATCTATTGTACAATCTAGTTTATAACAATGCATTGTATTCTTAAAAATTGCCGAGAGTAGGTTTTGAATGTTCTTGCCACAAAAAAGTAGTACCTGGCATAATGTATATGTTAATTCAGTCTATTTAGCTATTGCATAATGTATACATATTTTAAAACATCATGTTGTATATAATAAGTATATACACTTTTTCAATTAAAAATAATTAATTAATTTAAAGCCAAACAAGAAAGAGAAATGTAAGTCCTGGTAGGAGGTCAAAGCAAAGTTAAGGCAATGTGGCAATGCGTTTTTCTTGCCATAAATTTATCTTAGCTTAATTAGCATTAAAAGATCTATTTTAAATATGTATATTCAGATCAGGAATTCTGATTATGAGTGAAAAAGCCAAGAATAAAGTCATAAGTCCACAAGCACAAAAGGAGTTTGAAAAAGTGACTTAGTCAATTCCTTTACAAGTACCAGGCACAGGATTCATCAGGACAACTATTTTTAAAAAGAATTAAGAGGAGGGAAAAATTAACTAATGTTCCTTGGTCTGCTTCTATCCCTAGTATCATACAGTGCTTCTCAAATTTTAATGGCATATGAATCACCTGGGGACCTTTTTAAACTATAGAATCTGATTCAGTGGGTCATGAGGGGAGCCTGGAGCTCTGGATTTCCAATAGACTCCCAAGTGATTCTGAACTTGCTGGCCTGCCATGGTTCGAATAAAAAGGCTCAAAAAATATCACATGTAAGAAGACTCTTACATCATCTTCCATTTCATTATTTTATTCATTTTTTCAAAAGATATCTACTGGACTCTTAAATGCACAAGGCTAAGAGATACAAAGTTATACAATACACATGCTTCATTCCTTATATAATTTAATTATTAACCAAAAAATGGTAATACTAATTTTTGAAAGTACTTTTTAAAGAAAAACCTAATGCATATTTTGTGCATGACTACTGCTACTAACTTAGCTTTGGTGTTTTGAAGCCTAGAGAAATCCCATTCGTCTGATAACTATTCTTCAAGGATTTATTATATGGTCAATCCTCCACCATATCTTGGAATTCTACAATACTTTCTTCCTTCTGATGAGTGACTTGTCAGTATTACCTTTGATGAGCATAACAGAAATCTTTCATTTGTGAGTATGTTAAATAAAACCAGGCTGTGAGAAAGGCATTGAATTAAAAAGGGTTGACCTCATGCCTATTCACTGCTATGTTTTACATAAGCATGTGCATGTATATGTTTGGCTTCAAATATATGACATGATAAAAAGAAAAAAAAAGGTGAAAATAGGGCAGGCATTATTTCTATTGTTCCAAGCAGATGTCAAATATATTAATAAATTTTATCCATATAAAACATCATGCAAACTGAAAGCAAGTATTCAAAAATATCAGTCATTACAGTAAATGTGCACTTACTCAACCAACCTATTGACATTTTTAGCCCAAACTATTATTCTCCCATCTCTGAGATCATGTGGTATTCAAAAGTGCCAATAGGTAGAAATCAATATTTCTCTTATTAAAGAAGTGAATTTAGACCTTCTAAAATATTTTGAATTCTTTTGACATATTAATATATTTACTAAAGATCTATTATATTCAAAATATTTTAATTGATTATCCAAGAGATTTGGAAGATAGAGAATTCATTAATTCTGCTTACAATTTAGAATAATAATAAAGGAAATAAATAAATAAGAAGAAAAGTACAAAATAATTACATTGCTGAACCAAATTTAAAATGCGTTCCTCTATTTGTCACAACCAGTGCTTTAACATGTTCAGATAAAGAAATTGTATATTATTGAAGGATTAAACAATTTCTTATAAATAGGAAACGAAAATAGGTATGTATAGGATTTTGTTAGCTGGAAATGAGGAATGAGAAAGAGTATTCCAGGCAGTGAAATAGCATGAATAAATGTGCAGAGATCGGGACAGATTAGACATGTACCAGGAATAGTGCCTCTGTGGCTTAGCCACAGAGAGCAGAATAGTCAAAAATAAAATAAAACAAGTAGATTGTATGTGGAATATTGAGGGATCATCAATAGTAAACTAGAACATTTGGCTTTAGTTCAATAGGTTAGAGAGTAACTAGTTACTTTTGAGCAAGAATGGGACTCCATCAAAATCTTATTAAAGTGAAACCTTTAAGTGCACAATAGATTGATAGAGAGAAGAACTGGAGGGAAGTAGAAGGCTAGGGACATAATCCAAATAGGAGGTGTTAGAGAACTAAAATAGAATTGTGTAAGGGGAGAATGAAAACAAGGAGATGTATGACAAAAATTCTAAGAGAGGTCCAAAATGACTTCATTCAATTTTCAAATAATTTAATACACAGTCTTTGGAAATGCCTATATACAAAATTCTGTGCTAAACTCTGAAGTTATAAGGACTAATAAAGTGAGAATGAAATGAAGGAGGAGGAGGATGGAAGGAGGACATTGATTATTTTGTAGCCATGGTAACAAGTAGCCACCAACACAAGTTTCAATCCTATTTAATCAATTAACAATTAGCTGCCTCTGTGATTGTTATCTTGCTTCCCCAAGCCAACTAGTGGCAAATCCTCCCTTCTGAAAGTCTGCTAATCAGAAGTAGATTCACTCCAATGAACACGATTCTAAATGCAAACGAATTAACAGTGGTCTCACCTGAGTTACCATGCTTCTAAAGCTGACATCAACCTACTCCCAACCTTGAATGTTCTCATATCACTTGACCTCTGGGTTCCCCCCAAACCTAAGAACATTTTATTTTCAGAGACTATGGTTGAGCAGCATAGTTCTCTCTTATTTAAGTAAGCAATAAATTTAGCTATGTGTTTTTATTTAAAATATTGATTAATGTTCTCATCATTTTATAAAATTCAAGTGATGAAATTCGCTTGTAAATTTAAACTTATGAATGGGAACTTATTAGACGGGAGTATAATGCAGTGAAAGAATGAGCAATCCTGAATCGGAAGACCTGGATTTTAAAAAAAATTGTATCTAAATATTTATATCTGTAAAGAAAGATCCT